GTACATGAGTGATTGCAACAGTCTCAACATGTCATTTGTGCAAGTGCAACCATGCTTGACAACATGCCGTTCTAGTTTGTAAAAGGTTTTGTAATAACAAGAGCTTGAAGAAGGAGATTGTGTGAGATCTCCTCAGAGCAAAGATTTTCGCTAGAATAAATGACGACAATGAACAAAAAGAGAAGAAGAATTGCAGTGGCCACCCATTAGACCTCATGGTCTGCATGAGTGTGTGTTTTTTGTCGCCTGGGTTGGCCTAGTTACGCAAATACTAACAGCATGCAGGGGCCCTCGCTCATGGGCGATGTCTGCCACGCGCGCTCATTCCATTGCCAAAAGCCCCACACTCGATATGCTGTCCGCAACAGTGCGACATGCGCACAATGCCCAAGCAAGCGCACATCTGTCAAATGCCATCCACGGCATCCCACCCGGGCTGCAAAGGCAGTCATTGACTATTACGATTGCTATTACCATGTAGTTGTAGTAATTGTAGTACGACTACTACTACTACTACTACTACTACTCCTGCTGCTGCTGCTGCTGCTACTACTACCACGACTACTACTACCACTACTACTACTACTACTACTACCTACTACTACCTACTACTACTACTCCTACTACTCCTACTACTAATACCATTATTACTCAGCCTTCCCGAGAAAGCCGCCTCACATGGGCGTAGGGTGGCTTATCGCCAGTGCGCGGCTTCGTAACCGGCATCTGCCCACTCTCTGCTGGCTGCTACGTATAGGTGCACTGAGACTCTTCGTCGTCTTGAACAAAGTGCAAAAGAGTTGGGTTTGTCAGAGATCTACTTCCACCCCCTGATCGATTAATTTCAGGCCGCGACAAATCGCAGGCACAATGCTAGCCCTTCATCCTTTATTCAGCTACATGCTCCCTGTATCTCTCTGCCAAATCAGCTGCCTAGGCACTGGGATGAGTCTTCTACAGGATGTGGTGCTGAAGCCTCTTTGGTTGGTTGCTTGGTGTTCGTTCATAAAATTCAGTTTTGGATTCATCCTCTAAGGCTCTGAGCGCGACTTTCTTCAACCGTTTGGGCCCAAAGTTCTGTATGAAGGAATACTTCTTAACTCAAATTACATGTGACATGAGGACTTGGACCCTTAGACCCTCAAGGTCAAGGTTCGGAGCTTAGGGCTTGGGATGATTGGGTTGAGGCTACAGGTTGGATGTTGTCTAGCAACACAAAATTGCGTATAGGCTTATCCCTGAGCAGCCTGTTATAGAATAGCGGTGCACCGAACTTACAAGACTCTCACTTGATTGTGGGGTTTGCGGGTTCCTAGCCTGTTGCGAGGGTGTTGAGGTACAGGGGGAGGACTTCGATTGTAAGAAGTCCTCGCACACTCCCGGCACCATTCGTACAGTCCTAGACCTCAGCACAATGAAGCTCTATACACCCCTGCCATACGAAGCCTAGATTCAGAGGGAATGCCCCAAACCCTAAACCGTCACCCGCAAGCCCTAACCCGCCCCCTAAACCATAAACTTGGACGTTCCAAGGCAATTGTAAGCGGGACGATTGCAAGCATCGTCCTTTGCTGCAGCCCCAACATCCTGGACCAGATCAAAGGCTGCGTTGGTCGGTGTAGGCTTAGGGTTTAGGGTGTAGGATACATACCTTAAGTCTATACTCTTCTTCCTCTTCTATCCTATAAGTAGTATCTTGCAGCATCCAAAGAAGTGTGACCAAGCACACCTGTTATTCTTATAGTTTATAGGATCCCGGCAGGTCAGTGGATCGATGGAAACCAACCTCTTGATGAGAACAGCCGTGATGAGGCAGCTGCTCACTTGATCTCAGTGTTTATCAAAAGTGTTGCTCCCTTTCACAGGGTACACGCTTGAGCACCTGGCGTTTGTGACTGTCGCCTTTTGAAGACCGCCCGAGAGAAATAGATACCTTGAATGCCCTTTCTTGCACTACTGATGCTGGGAAGGGGCAGAACTAGTGGAGTCAGGATTGGCCCTGGGACTCCATGACAATTCAGACCAGCAATGCAATCATTTGGGTTTTGCCTTGTCAGAATTCTCCGTGGGTGATTTCTGCAACGTGGCATTCTGTCGAAATAGTACTGCATGAATAGGAGGCTCATCATGAGGCAAACGCTTAAGCCAACACGCCCCTCAAGCGAGTTTAGGTCATGCACCTACGGATTCTCTTCATGGTTGCGGTTCCATCCGTCTACACTCTCACAGGAAGTTTGCAAACATCTCGCATGAATCCCGCCGAGTACCTTGTTAAAGTGCCCGACAGCCTCCAGAGCAACATCATGAACCCCAAATTTGCAGGCCAGCGATGTGCCTGCACCCCCTCATGACGGTGTCCCTAGTGAGCCGATCTTTCGAGATGACGAAGAACTTTGTAAGCGTCACCATGGCAGTGTCGCTCATCAGCCGACTTATGCAGACAGCCACAAGGCTCCTGTCTGTGAAGCGGAAGACGGAGACATTTCCATTTTCGTGGAAGCTGTGTAATTCAGGGCTGTTGTCCCAGAAAGTACGTAGTATGAATCCGGAGCTGTTGTTCTGAAAAAAGCCCAATGCCGTCTCTTAGCTTAATTACAAGATCAAGGTAGATAACATATTTCGAGCAGTTTACAAATGTAGGGTCCATGTAGACCTTGCATCGCCACATCGCGCGGTTGAAGACCAGGCGATGTCTTTGGAAACGTGCTTGGGCATGTCGCGTGGGTTGAGTCCTTCCTATCTGAAAATCCTTGCAGGACCCTGTTTGGGGAAATTCTAAGGGCCTGTGGCGTACGCGTGCTGGAAAGGAACGATGACGTTCAGTACTGCGACATACCCTAGACAAAATCCCTTGCCACTGTCAGCGAGCCACTTGTCAGCCAACGTCTGTGACGTCTCAGTGGACAGCGGGTGTTCCCAAAGTGCCATCACTTTGCGTTGCGATCTGCATCCGCAATTCAGGGTGCATTTGTTGCGAAACGCGTGTGCCCTAAGGAGGGCAACAGAAGAATTAACAACCCTAGGCCCCGTCGGGACTTGCGTAGATCTCCGCTGATGGGCGGGCCAAGTCTTTTGGCCTTGCCGGGCATGTCTGTGTAAGGTATGTCGGTAGTTCCTTCGTGAAACCAATTGACAAGATCCTGGAGCTGGTGTCACGGACCATAACCCTCCCAAGGATAAAGTCCAGGCTTTGTAAG